TCCTGTTTTCTGATAGAGATACACACATGGTTCAAAAAGGGCAGTAATTTTAACACTTGGCACAGCTGGAAAGTGTGGTGTCTCTTGGTGGGGAGTAGTATCAATGAAGAAATTTGGAACTCTTTGGTGTTCAAACAGCTTGGACTGCCTTGTCAGGTTAAGAGTGACAGTTTATGCTGTTGCAGAAAGCAGTGGGCCATCATATGCTGGGCGTAGTATTCACAGCCATGATGAGCTGCAGGAGAAGAAATAACCACCCACAACATTTAGTTTGATTCCTTGATCACCTCTGGGGCATAAAGACAAAGTAGAAAGAGGAATAAGTAAAAAAAATTGGGGGTTTTGGCAGCCAAAGGGCCTTGCTTCTGCCTAAAGTGACTGCTCACTGTTTAAAAGCAAACAGTGTTTATGTTGGAACACACTAAGCTACTTCTTCCAGGACAACATATCTAGGCTCAAACTAGTCATTGCCTGGCAGCTGGCTTTATACATCTGGACTCCACTTCTAACAGCACATGTAGAATTGTGAACACTTAAATGCTCCCCTTCAGCTTTTAGCATTTTAATACCAGTATGCTCTCATCACACCTGCCCAACAGTGACGCTACCACGTGAGCTTCAAGCTCATGACCCGTGAGTAAAACTTGTTCTGAAATTTCACAGAATTTTGCTCTCAGACAAATACCCTTCTAGTGCAGAGATGCTTAGGGCACCCAGACTGGAATACTGTGTGCTCTATCCTTATTACATGAGTTCAGGTTTCTCTTAGCTGCTCTATTAACTATTCTTGGTAAAATAAGAAGACACATGAAGTTGGAGTTCAAAAGCAGATGCTTTTATGAAGTTATCATTGCTTAACTATCTGAATGTGTTAACGTGAATTTCTGTCTTTCTAGGAAGGAACAAAGTGTGAAGTTCCCTGAAGACATGTCAATTAACCTTCCTAATCTCCTTAAATTTATTTTGCATCACTCAAGTTATTTTCCATCACAGCCCTGCACCAAAGAATGCCTGCATAAGGAGGCAGTTCTACAGCAAGGACACATCTCCCACTTAGAGAGAGAAATTCAGAAGTTAAGGGCAGAAATCATTGCCCTTCATCAGGCCCATGACCAGCTGGAAGCACAGCTTTCTGAAGCCAGGAGGGAGGAACACAGACTGCAGCAGCAAAAACACGCACTGGAAAAGCAGCACAAGACTCTGCAGCTCCACAGTGAGCACTTACAGGCCACATACAACCAGAAGAACCGAGAATTATTAGAAATGGCTGAAAAGCTTCAAGAATTAGCTGATGCATCAGAAAACCTCCTTAAAGAGAATACTTTACTGAGAATCCTGGTGGCATCAAGGGAAGGAAAGCTCCAGAGCAAAGATGAAATTAAAGAATCCCTTCAGTCAGAGCAGACACGTTCTGAAGATCAGGATTTATCAGGTTCAACAGTTACTGCCACATTAGAGGAAAAAACAATTGATAATATTGATACCATAGAGACAGAGCACAGTAGTGGAAACAGGACAGAATGATTGCTTACAAAGTCAAATGATGTAGTATTGGGTAGGTATTTATGCAAATTTTATTGAAATTCATTGTAAATAAAGACTTCTTTCCCCACATGATCTAGAAAAAGAAAAGGAATATTTTTGTATACTTGAACAACTTACTAAATACTCACATCTAAGAAGAGGAGGAAAATGGAAAACACTTTCTGCACTTTACTATTGCACTAACTTGCCAACACCTACCCATTTAAAGATGCTGATTTTTAGGGGCAGCAGTGTGAAGCACCTCTGACTAAGGACCAGGTGGTTTTCACTGGCTCTTACAGCTGCTAGAGGAAAAATCAGACCTTTGATCTATACCTTTCCATAATTTCTGAAGTTTGCCCTTTACACTGCATTCTCTTTGCTGAATTAGAGATACTTCATCTGTGTAAACTTGAATGGACAAGGTCATCTTGCTACAACTACTCTGTTCCAGAACTTCAGCACTTTGTATTACTTTTGTATACCAGTTATCTGACTGTCTGGAAACCTGCAAGAGCCATGTGTGAACTTTTCCCTACTGAAAACTAAAAGTCTTACTGAATTAATCCTTTTCTCTTTGATTTGTAAGAGGTCAAGAATACAGCAGTTGAAGTGTATGGGTCTGGCTATACATGCCAGGCTCACAAGGCTAATATCTTAAAGAAAGGACATGTGCCAGGGTAACAACAACCCTCTATCAACTGTACCCCATATTGTACTCGAGAGGCAACAGCAGGAGCTTTTTGCTACAGGCAGCATCAACTTTTGCTTCAAGTTACAGACGTCAGTTAAGAAAAGGCAAAATAGCACTAAAAATGCCAGTCAACATCTTACTGTAGAAGAAAGGGACAAGACTTTACTGACTAAGCTGTTGTCATCTTGCATGTAGTACAGTTCTCAAGCAAGCTTGCTAGGCTTATGGTAGTTACTCTGTATGTACAGCTACAAGAAGCAGGTCTAGTGCTTCCTATAGAGCTGAAGAACTTGACTTCATTATTTCTAGAGGAACAGATTTACAGTAGCTTTTTTTCTCCTGGGCAATTGAGTGTTTAAGAGTGTCAGCAGGCACAAGGAAACGATGTATAGTCAAAGAAAACTGGTCATGGGCCTCAAAGCATGATGTCTACCCTAAGAGTTTTAGAATATATAAGCTGCCATTGGTGGCTCAATGTTGTTCCTTCTCCTCCCCCCAAAACTTCTGAGGTCCAGAACTCCATTTAACACACCTTTTTACAACAGTTCCCATGGCTGAAGTACAGCACAGAGCAGGAAATGGAAGGGCTGCCCTTATTGGGAAGAATTTCCTCATTAGCTAAAAGCTTTTACTAACTGACCAGCCATCTCCCGTCCCTGTATCAACATTTGTTTTTGTAGGAAAGACTAAAACTTCTCTTGTAGTAGTACAGTTAAGTCAGGAGTTGTCTACGAGACAAGTTAACTGAATTCTAAAGTTGACAGTTGGTCTGCAGACTAAAATGCCTTTTTTACAAGAGGCTTTTAACATACACCCTAACTGCTGTGTACACAAACAGGGGTTCTAGGAACTATTCGTATTAGTTGCACTTAACCCCAGTTTTAGTAAGTATCACTTCTGCGGTTCCAGCATGCAGACCTACAGAAGAGCAATGCCTGCTCTACTGCCACTTCAAACTCCCAGAAACCTTCTGGACCATCCCTGAGGGTTCAGTATCCATCATCAGTTCCCAGGTTGGAATCCATCAAAATGGCAGTTTCCTTGCAGTAGCTACATAGTTAGAACTCCTAGCAGCCAGAAGTTCACCTACCTAGCTACAACTGAAAGGAAATGACTTCCTTTTTTTGTAGCTCTGGTGTTTCCTCCCTCAGCATGTTACTGAAGCTTATACCTTTCCAAAGACAGTATTCTGTATCCATCCAGTAAACTGTTAAGAGTAGGAGTTCTGACTTCATGGCTGTGCAGAACAGAGCATAACAGAAGCAAGCTTTAACTGCAGATTTGGGGCTGAAGGTCTGGAATCCCATCTACGGTTGCAGTTCAGTAGTCCGCTTGTACGTTATGTACAGTTGCATCATATTATTCCCCATACGCTGTGGAACACAAAGCAAAAAGCTTTGTCAGCCTATTTACAGTTCACAGTTGGAAAGTAGTTCACATTACAGTAGTAGCTCCATCAGAACAGGCTCAGCTAAACATTCAAGTAACAAAACACACTAGTAGTCTCTTCACCCCAGTATATCCCTGTGTCCATTGCCGGCAATGGACGTTATGCCAGGGGAGTCAGCTCCTGTCCTAGAGGAATCGAGATACAGAGTTGATGCAAAGTGCAACCTCTCAGTGCATGCAGTTGCAAACAAAGCTTATTTAAGCCTCATGAGGGTGTTTCCCGATTAGTGTGCATGGGACCAGGTTCTTCACAGTATAAGTTCTCCTGCTGGTTACACACACCACAAGCATAGTCCATTTACAGGCATTGCTCCAAGTTAGCTGTGTACTTCTGTGCCGTTTGGCGTTAGCTTCGCTTTCCTCTCCACACAAGGTCCTTTAGCGGAGTACTGCACCAGAAGAAAGGGCTCTTTGGTCTCTCCTTCACCCACAATGCTTTCTTCATCCTCCGACTGGCTGATCCTCTGCAGACGCAGGTAACACCAGCAGCCCAGAATCAGTGCACCAAGAGCCGCAATAGCGATCAAAATGACAATGACAGTCACCACTCCAGTGGTGGGGCTATGATCCATAATAGACATGGTCAATACTTCAGATTGTCAGACCTGAAGGAGATTTTTCTGTCCTCACTGTCAGGCTTGCTGCATCTTCACACTCCTGCAGAGAAAAAAAAGAGAGACAATGAAGATGTGTAGTTTCACCACATACGGTAACATCACATTCATGGTTGGCATCCTTCACAAGGGCACATGACCCTCTTGCATTCAGTGCGTTCAGCTTCTTGCACTCCTACACACTTACTCATTTTAAGCTCTTTCTTCCAACTGCCTCTGAAGGTGCAGGTTTCTACATCAAACTCAAACCGATGAAGGCTGAACTTACTTCAGCTCTTGACATGCTTGTCAGAAGAGCACATAGTCAGCCTGCTAGGAGGCAGCAATTTTTACTAGGGGACAGAGGATGAGACAAGGCACAGACAAGATAGACTTACAAAAAACTGATGCAATTTAGTACCAGAGATTTAAGACTACTTAAATACGAAGTCATGGGTGAGCTCTCAAATCCACAAGGTACCAGTTCCGCTACCTTCAGTTTTCCTAAAGGAATCCTACAGAAACAGTACATTTGAAATCTGACCCCTTTTAAAGTTTAATTTACAAACATTACATACTAACTTCCAGAACTGATAAGCTAATTGCAGAGGTAATTGCAACTCTAACACGTTACTATATGCCTGTGATCTGTTTAGAAGGGTTGACTACACGGTAATTGGTGGTTCATTGAGCCAGTAGGAAACAGATGTTGCTTTGTATGCGTTTTTTCATAAGAAGGTAGAGCAAAGACTTATCAGTAACAAAACATAAGGGGAAGCTCATTATTTTAAGCTTCTGCTCCTCTTCATGGCTTTCGCACCACAAGAGCGAGGTAGCGTCTTAGGACTGCAGCTGAAATCGGAACAGGCAGCAGGAGGAAAACGGGGGAGAGGAGCTCCAAAGACTCTCTTAGTCTGCTGCACATTTTGGCAGGACAAAAAGTGTCTAGGGACTGTCTTTTGCTACTTCCACTTCCAAACTCACAACACTACTGAAGAAGTCATGTGAGCCTTGCGTTAAAGTTCAAAGTGCTTGTTTACCAAATTAGTAGCTTTACAGTCTTCCACTTCAGCTGGGACGTAACAAAGTCATTCATTCATGCCCTTTTCTTTCCTACTGCCCTAAGTCTTCAACAAGACACAAACTCAGGGGAGACTTTAGTTGGGAGCAGAGCCAACTCCTACCCAGAACACCTCTTACCCCTGTAGTGCTGCAGGAATCAGGTTAGGGTCAGTGGTGCTGTTTCCAGGTACAGCAGATACAGTCCCTAATGGTTGTAGGGTCAGCTACAAGTGCAGAACAGTCTCTGCATTTCCCCTGACAGGCAGCCAATGGAGTAACAGTATGTTCTGGCTGTGCCAGGCTATCGAGGGCCACATACCTTTCCTGGAAAGGCCTCACCATCCTTGTTGCAGTCTGCTCTGCAACATCATCACCTTCATACAAACCTTCAAAAGTCAGTCTTTACCAACCTTGAGCCAGAACAATTAGGTTATTGCATTATCCACTGCACAGGAACTCTCACCAGCACTTCAACATGAAAAGAGTTAAGGCAATTACAGCGCAGTATCTTCACCCACAGTACTCAGGCTAGAGACTGAAGTTTATTTCCCAACATCCCATGGCATGGGAGACCCATAGCCATTGCAGGGACACTAAAGAGAAGTTCAGTACAAGTGTCACACAGCTAACCTGCACACAGGTTGCATTTCCAGCCCTGTAAGCTACAGCAACCAATAGCCTGTAGCGTACCTGGTATGCCCAGCCAAGTCCTGCAGACCCAATTTCACCAGAAAACGAAACTAACCACATCACACCCCCCAAGCAGGCTACGTGCCTGCTGCAGCTGGAGAAGTGTAGGATTTTTGCCATGATCATCTTCCTTCTGCAATGCTTGTTCAAGCCAGGGTGATCAGCTGAGGGTGATTAAGAGTGACTTTCATGTAGTTCATTTTCCTCGGGGCATGTCTGAGCTGCAGCACTGTTTGATCTAGCCACAACAGTGCAGCATCAGCATAAAAGATGGTTTACCCTGCTTCTTATGTAGGCCCTGCGTGTCCACATCAAGCCCTCTGCTGCCAGGAGCTGTGCAAGCTGCAGAAATGATGACCTCCTAGCACTGCTTCCCTACAGCACATGACTCTACATTGGAACTAAACAGTTACTGTCACCTAGAAAACAGCTTTTAATACTGGAAACTGGTGTTGTACATGCTATCCCCCCTCTGCCAGAGTTCAAGAGAGTAGACAGCATCAGCTACGCAG